GCCCGGCTCTGCAGGGCCGGGCAGTAACAGTGTGCAGAGGAGGCTGCTCAGGGGCCAACAAGGCTGGGGGCTCCCCTGGGGCAGGGGCCGGGGAGCCGACAAGGGGGGTCCAGGTGGCCACCATGTTTGGGTCCCGCCAGTTTCTGCCCCTCCCCGTGTCCCTCCACACGCACATGCGCACACGCACATACGCACGCACGTACACGCTGCGGAATCCCGCTGCTGCAGTGGCGGACAGCCCGGCTCACTCACCCCTGGGCGTCCCCACCTGGACCAACTGGCCTGGGGTGCGGTTGTCTGGTGCTGCCAGTGCCTGCACCTGGGGAGAGTGAGTGCGAGCTGGGAATTCAGGATGGGTGTGGTCTACGCTCGCATCCTGATCGGAGAAGACACCGGGAAAGAAGCCTAGAAGCCGAGACTCTGTCCCCAGCCTGCGGGCACCACCCGGGCTCCCAAACCAACCCCCTGCCGTTGAGGGGACGCCAATGCCCAGTGACCCCAGAGGCCTGGGTGGACCTGCCCTGTGGGGATGAGACGTAACCCTACGGGAGCAGAGAGCCTTGTCTTCCTCCTGCAGAGCTGCTGCCTCTCTCGAACTGCCGACCTTGTGGTTCGCAGTCCAACAAGTGCACCACTGCCACCAGGGCAGTGCTCAGAGTCAGAGGGGTGAGCCAAGCAGTGCCGGGCAGGCACCGGGGGCCCCCAGCATGCAGCCTGCCTGGCAACGTCGCAGCCAAGAGCAGAGCACCCGGCACAGGCTTCTCGGTGGCGGCCAGGGTGCAGGAGAGCACAGACAAAGGGGCAGGGGCCCACCTGGCCAGCCACCCGCCACCCTTCCCAAGTGCCCGTCTGCGCCAAGAGTGGGGCCTCTCCCAGGACAGGTGCCGATCCTGTTCCCCAGGAAAGGACCCCCTGCCCCTCACGACAGGTGACTGAAACTCTGAGAGGCAGAGCCCTGTGGGCACTGGCGGCCAGCCACCGGCAAAGCGGAGCCCGGCCCGCTGAGTGGCTGCGAGCACTCATGGGCAGCATGGACAGAGAACGCCTGCACCTGCCCTGAGAAATGGTGGCGGCTTGGCCACGCTTCTAGAATTCTCCAGGAGAGCCCCGCACCCCCTGGGAGAACACTAGGGCTTCACCGATGAGGGGGTTGACGTGTGGATGGACGTGGTCACTCTGGGGGCACCCAAGGCCTCCTCCACAGACCCTGTGCCGACGTTGAGAGCTTCTCAGGCATGCGGCACAGCTCAGCAGAGACGCCCCAGCCGGGAGCGCCCCTCGGAGTGCCCCACCCCTGCTTCCAGCCAGTCCTGAGATCAGAAGGGCACCGCTGCTCACACTCAGTGCGAGAAGAACCGGCTGTAATTAGGGCTCCCGATAAGTGCACCCACCCTTTCCTGGTGCCCTGGTGGGCGTGAACATCATCCTCACCTGCCTCCCTCCCCGACAGGTGCAGCGAGGCTTGGCTGACATGGTGCCAAGCCAGCCGCCGGGAGGCGGGAAGGCGGGGAGGCACCTGCAGCTCCCTCCATCAGGGCCCGCTCGGGGTAACCCGGGCCCCTCGTCATTTTTAATTGCTTGCTTTCGAAGGAGCGGTGACAGCAAGTGGGAACAGGTAGTGAGTGACATGCAGCTTCCTCGCCGTCTGCTGAGGCGCCTCCCCCCCGCCCCCCGACATTACAGATAGTTTACTGGCATCTTCTCGGGCAGGGACGTTTCACCTGACACTCGGTTTTTCCTGGTTTTCAAGGGGGGGGGGGAGCGGAGAATGACGGACGGGCTGGAGGTGAGCTTGCCGCTGGGGGGCTTCATCCACCCTCCACAGGCCCCCCAGTCCCACATCCAAGCCCCTGTGCAGTGGGGACCCCGAGGCGAGGCTGGCTTGGGGCTGCATGCAAGGCAGTCACGGGTGTGGGGGCGTGGCCTGGGGGGGCGGTCAGGGGCCTTGGTGCTCTGGTGAGAACAGTATGTGCCAAGGCCCAGGGGCTGGAGAGAGAGGCCCAGGGGCTGGAGAGGCCCAGGGCCCAAGTTCTGTGAGGAGCTGTGTCCCCCCAGACGTGGAGTCTGGAGGACCCTGGGCGCAGGTGAATGCACAGGTGAACGCGCACGACTGCTAGACCAAAGGCCAGTGTTTCAAACCCACCAGTCGCTCTGCGGGCGAGGAGGAGGAGGAGGAGGAGGAGGAGGACAGGAGCAGGCCTGCGGGCACATCGGAGTGGTCTCAGAGGGTCACCAGGGGTCAGAGTCCACTGGACAGCAATGGGATTCCTTTTTGAGGTCCTGTGACTGAGTTCAGACCAACCTGTCAGCTCGGGAGGTTCCAGCACACACGATAGCGAGCCTCCCCAGCCAGGAAACAGCGCAGGGTGGGGGCAGGGTCTCTGACACCCTCTGGCTCCCTTGAGGTCACAGGCAGAGGGGTCAGGCACCCCCCATCTGTCCTCCTTGACCTGCCGACACAACTCTACACCTGTGCGGAGCCTCAGTGGGCTTGCACAGCCAAGCCCGCGGCTAGCCGCTGCACAGTATCGGGCTCGAAGGCAGGGCACTGCTCTGGGGGAGGCTCTCATCTACGACAGCGACAGTCCCCCTCTCTGCTGTCCCACAGGGACACGGCCTCATGGACATCACAGCAAATGCCTGTTCTCAGGAGGATGACACCCACAGGTTTTGGGGACACAATCGATAACAGGGGGCTTCTCTGGGAGTCTGGGGTGGCATGGTTCCCAGCCGTGCGGGAGTGGGAGTCACAGAGAGCAAGACACACCCCTCACCCTGGGGGTGCAGGGAGGGGATGGTGGGGGGGATGCCTGGCTCGGCTGGACCTGCCTCCAACACCCACGGTGGTTTGGGGGAGGACTGGCAGCCCCTGCCCGTGGATGTCGTGGGCTTCAGCTTGTGGAGGCCGAATCCAAACACTCACCCGAACTTACCAGCCGTTCACCCCAAACACACGGGGTGGCGGGAGTGGGGGGGCAACTCTCCCCCATCACACACGCTGCCGGGGTGGCCCAGCCCACCCCCTCCGGCCTGTGATCTCCCTGCATACTGCAGCAGTGCATGCAGCTGCGGGAGTCTGAGGGGGGATTTGTGGACTAGCCTCTGACTACGGACTTCAGGTGGCCAGGGCTGGGATGTTTGCCGATAGACAGTTACTTCTTGTATAAAGCTCTCTCTTACACATGCGTGAGTGTCCCTGGATTTGTTTCTCTCATCAGCCTGCTTCACGCATCTTGGCGGCTTGTCTGCTTCAGAGCAGACAGGATGCGAATTCAGGGCCCACACAGCTCTTTGGAGCATGCCTCCTTCCCTGCAGGAACTGGAAGGGCAAGCCCTCCACCCAAAGAAGTGTCCTGAAATGCTCCCGCCCCCCTGCTAC